AAATATTTAAGTGAGGATAATGTTATGGGTTGAATTATGTCCTTTCAATATTTACTTCTGGAAGATCTACAATATTTATATTTGGAAGCTCTAATTCCTCATTATCTCAGAATGACTGTATCTGGAGATGGTGTCCTTCTGGAGCTAATTGTTAAGAAGAATCAATTAGGATGGAACTTCTATAAGATGACATGTGTTCTTAAAGGAAGATAGGATTAGAATGCATACCCATAAAGGAAGGATGTAGATGGAGTAATGTTCCTGCATATGCAGAAGCTTAGGATTTGACACAGCACATCTGTGTTGCTTGTCAGATCAAGAAGAACACAGATGAGGATCACTATTTCTGAGTTCAGAATCTTCTTGTAGAAAGTTCCACTTGTTGGTGTGTTTTTTGGGTTCATGCTCAGAATACTCCACTGGTACTCCTGGGAATACAAACCAGGCATGAACACCTGCTGTATGATTACTAGTCTCAGGGTCACAATTCTATGTGGGATTTACTATAACGCCTTTACCAGGGAGGAAACAGAAACTCAGTATTTTCCCATTTTACAGAGGATGGATTTGCAGCTCAAAAGGATGAACTATTAGCCCCTGGCATCATTCACTGAGAATTTGAATGAGCAATTCCTGGTGTGTTCACATTTGGACCTTAAGTTCTTCCATGGCCTTCTCATATAAGACCCTCACTTAATACAGGAAGAAACTGAGGCTTACAGAGCAAGGCATTTTCCTGAAATCATATCATGAAGAGTCATTCCAACACCACTCCCTGGTCTCTTCATGTTTTTTTCAGGGCTTTCTAACTATTCTCTCTTACACCATTCTTTACTTAGGAAGCTTTGAAATTATTTTTATATCCTCACAGAATCTGAGAGACAGAATCGCCCAATTTTCTTCAATTCCATTATTTCCTTCATCACGTAATATTTCTAAGAGGATTATATCAGGAAAAAACCCATATGTCTGTTTTCCTTGATGTTGAGAAAACCATGTGGCTCTGTACTGACCCAGAGGAGGTGAGAAGAGTTGATGTAACCAAATCCTGGCTCATGGGATTAATAGAAGTGGATAGTCTCTCCTGCTCTTCCCAGACTTCCTGGTAGACACATCCTGGAACCTTGTAGGAAAACCAGGATGAAGGCACCTTTGCTGGATTGAAGAGTAGCAGTTTGGAAGGAGTTATGATGTCTGAGGCCTTGGAGCTTATAGCTCAGGTAGAAAACACCTTTGTATTTTGTCTAAGACTCATGACAATTGGTGTCTGTGACAGCAGTCTGACTGTAATGAATAAAGAATACATGTTCCCACAGGCCCAGTGTTGCGATGGCAGGGCCTCTTCTGCCTGATCATCATCTCCTACTGCTGCAGCTACAGTTATGGCCACTGGCTTTGGCACATGCTCTTTGCCTTGTCATTTTAAATCTAAAAGGATGAAAATGATGTTTCACTATTGCTTAGGGTACTTATGCATCATTCTGCCCAATTTTGTACACAGTTCTTTCATAGAATCTTCCTTAAGTATTCAGATTGATTCATCTGTTTCCTCCTTTGGAATTTTCATATCCACAATTTTGAATAATTTTGAAAAGCAAGTAAATCAGTGAAATCAGGTTCACAGCACCTCACGACTGGAAGGCAATGCCTATTTATCACCTTGTTTTTTCAATGCATGTAAGAATTGGGCTTCGTTCCATTAAAGCAGATTTATTTCTAAAATGGGGATTTTAGGAATTTTTGTCTGGGGAAAAAAGACAAGTTTGTACCTGAGTGAATGAGAAATGGCATGTGCTTGACAGAGTTGACTTTGTATTGTCTTTAAATCCTGTGAACAAACTATCCTCCCACCCCAATTCTCCTCCTCCTTCTTTTCTTCATCTTCATCTTCTTTTTCTATTATTCTTACTTTATATCTTAGTTGTCAACATTTTATGATATTGATATTCTTAGATTTTCCAATATTTGTTTTGTATCCTACTTATGATCAATCTTGGCAGATGTTCCATGTGCACCTGAGGGGAAGAGGTATTGTCTTTCAGTTGGATAAAGTGTTCTCTATATGTCTGTGAGGTTTGAATTTAGCCTAAATTGTTTTTCAAGTTAAATGTTTCTTTATCAGTTTTCTTTTTGAATTAGGTGTCCATTATTGAAAGTGGCATATTTGAAATCTCTCACTATTATTATACTGCAATCTATCTGATCCTTTAGGTCCTTGAATATTTGCTTTGTATATATGTATATGGGCTCCCATGTTGGGTGCATATATATTTACAATCATTATATCCTCCTGATTAATTGACCTCCTTTTTATAACACAATGTGTTCTTTGTCTCTTTTTATATGCTTGACCTAAAGCTGAGTTCATCTGATCTATCATCCGTTAATCTATCTATCTATCTATCATCTATCTATCTATCTATCTATCTATCTATCTATCTATCTATCTATCTATCATCTATCTATCTATCTAACTTCATCTGGTTTACAGTGGTATAGAATATCTTTTTTTTCTTTCCCACAATTTTGGAGTTCTGGGTATTGAGCCTAGGGACTTATGCATGCTGGTCAAATTCTCTAAAACAGCTACATCTCCAGACTTCATATTTTCACTTTAAATTTTTGTGTGCCAATTGGAATGAAGTGAATATCTTATAGGCAGTATATAGTAAGGTTTTGTTTCATTTTGAAATCCTATAAATCACTCTCCATGTTTGTATTTGGGAATGTAATTCATTTACATTCAAGTTATTATTGACAGATAAGTCCAGGAAGACCTCATTGTATTCCACTTTCTTTATGGTGACCTACTTAAGTGTCCTTACTTTATTGTCACTATGAATCACCTCTTTTCCCATTTCCATCCATCCAAGGCCTATTCATTTTTCATTGCCAAACTCAAGTAGTGATGTGACTGAAAAATTGGCAAAGGCACATGCTAGGTAACGGTTGAATTATCAGTTCAAATTCTGGGTATTTCAAGAAGACTTCCCTCTCTACTGGCCACCACAAACACACTTACTTGTGAAATCTTCTTTCACGCTTATCCCTAAGTCTCTGTTTGTATGCTGGGATGATTAGGCCAAGTACATCAGATCTCTAAGGAGATAATTTCTTTTAAACTGTACACTGGTTTTCTAAAGAAGAAAGAAAAAAATTACTAAGTGAGCTTTTTTGTATGAATGATATTGATTCCCAAAATATACCACACAATCTACTGAGTGCAAGTACCTGCCACATAGGTTGAAGAATGCATGCTCACTGTGATTATAGCCAGAAGTAGACACACGGACTGTTTTTTATTGGTTCTTTTCAGTTATGCATGACAGCAGGATTCATTTTGACACAATTGTGAATGCATGGAATATAATTTGTTCTAATCAAGTCTCCACTACTTCCCCTTCCCATTCCTTCTTTTCACCTCCTGTTCCTTTCCCTCTACTCTTCTGATCTTTCTGCTATTTTGTTATGGTTTTTAAAAAACCATAGTTTTTAGTGTCTTGTGGATGTATGCAATGGTGAGATTCATTGTGGTATATTCACATATGTACATAGGAATGTTAGGTCAGATCCATTTCACTGTCTTTTCCTATCCCATTCTTCATCCTTTCCCTTCAGTCCCTTTGTCTACTCCATTGAGCTTTCTTTTATCCCCCCCTTATTTGGAATTGCTTTTGCATATCAATATGGAGATTCCTCAAAAAAAAAAAAAAAAACGGTAATGAAACCATCATATAACCCAACTATTCCAGTTGTCAGTACATATCCAAATGATTGAAAATCAGAATACTACAGTGATGCAGCAACATCTATGTTTATACCAGCACAATTCATAATAGTCAAGTTTTGGAGGTAACCCAGGTGCTCCTTAACAAATGAATGGATAAAGAAAATATAATACATATACTCAGTGGATTACTATTCAGCCATAAAGAAGAATGACTTGAGCGCATTTTCCAGTAAGTGGATGGATCTGGACACTATCATGCTAAGTAAAACAAGCCAGTCCCCCAAATCAAAGGTCTAATGTTGTCAACTTCTCAGGCTGGCTGTCTCACAATGCTGTTTCCTTTAATCCATGTTCATAGTGAGTTATATGCCCCTATCTTATTTTGAAACACAGATTCTAGTTCACAAATGGCATAAGATTTAGATTTGGTTATTCAATAAATTTAGTACCTCTTTAGGGTGCCTGGGGTGAGCGTATCTCCCAATTTAATCATGGGATCAACTTGAGAATCCAGGTGTCCTGACTCCAAGTGTTGTACAATCTATAATCTAGCGATCTCAGGATCTCTGTCCCTACACATGCCACAATTTCAGGTTATGCAACATGTTTCTAGGTTGAGTACTTGTACAGTAAACCGCTAAGTAACCACTTACTAATACTCATGGTTTTAACTGCTGAAAGCCAAGACCAATTTATCACCATGCCATGGACAAATGTTACCAGAAGACTTTTCATGAACTAATTTCCTGAGTTGTTGTTATGCAAGTAGAGACTCTGCCTTCAAAAGTGACAGCATTCAGCTAGATTTACTGTACCAGAACTCACTCATTCATAATCAAGCTTTCTATCTGCATCAATGTCCCAACACCCACACAAGACTAATTGCTAACAGCACAGGCAGAGAGAGATAGGAGATCATTATTTCTATAAATTCAGGTAGAAAATGGTCAAAAATAACAGATTTATAATTTTGTACAAGTATCCTTTTCCACTGGAATGAATATGTCAGAGAAAAAGCATTAATAAAAAGATTTAGATGAAGATATGATGAGATATGATATTTATTGAAAATATCAAAAATGAATTGTGACATTCTTATGTAAGATTGGTTTCCATATAGAAAGAAGAAAACAGAGGTTAACATAAACCCATTGGATGACATGCAAGTATTTCAGGGGCAAAAGGCTGAGAGGAGAGCAGATATGTGTCAATTGTGGCTGGGCATCGTTGGCTCTTGAAGGCACATCTGATGGACCAGAGCAGAAGGTCTTCATCCCTGCTCCACTCTGCTGCTTGACATCTCCAGGGTTCCCTGAGGAAGGTTGCCTCCACTTTCATCCTTCCCAGGAGTGTCCTGCAGAGCCCGCTCAAGTACTAGCTTCAGGTTCTGCCCCCACAACCCCTGCCTAAAGGAGCCAACGAAGAAGTAAATGATGGGGTTGGCAGAGCTGTTAACATAGGACAAAACAGTTGAAACCAGACAAAGGCAAAAAAGTGCCTGGAAGTCAATCTTCATCCACCATAACAGGAACACAGAGACACCGAAGGGCAGACCACAGAGGAGGAAAACCAACACTGTGAGCAGGATGGTAACATACAGCCTGGTCAGAGGCTTCTTCTGGGATCCACAGAACATCCTACCCAGCAGGGCCAGGCTGGACCCTGATAGAACCACAAATAAAAGAACCAGCCATGCAGCTAAAGTAAGTTGAACATTTTTACAAAGATGACGTACAGTTATATCAAAATATATACAAACAACTGCTTCTAGGATGCTCAGAATCATGGACAGGGTCCAGAGCAGGACACATATGACAGCTGATGTGTGCCTTGGGCGATGACAGTGGTACCAAATAGGACAGAGGACTGACAGGCAACGCTCAGTGCTAATAGCAGCGATCATGTTCATGTCTGCAATGTAGAAAAATATTGTCACGGTTCTTAGGATGCCAAACAGAGTGGTGTAGTGATGGAATACTCTGATGACTGCTAAATGTAAAAAAGTGGTATGCAAGCAGAGAAAGAGGAAGTCAGCAACAGCCAGATTTAGGATGTATGTGTAAAAGGGATTTCTGTGCATTTGAAAACTCAAGAACCAGATCACAGATGCATTTCCTGACAGCCCAAGTGGAAAAATAATGCAGATCAACACTGTAGTAATCAGATTATTCCCATCACAAATTGGAGGAAGGCTTTCATAACTTCTATTGTTTGGTGTGGCTTCTGTGCTCCAGGCTGTGATGGTTGGATCCAGGCTCCTAATCACTTCAGTGGTGCCCCTAGGAACACAAAGGAGACTTGAGTGCTTGCAGCAACAGCTCAGATTATCAGGACCACCCTACAATGAGGAGATTACTGTATCTCTTTTAAAGAACAGGAAACCAGGGGATTGCATAGGTGAGGCAACTTATCAAGAGCTAGAGATGCCTGAAATATGGATTTGAATTCTGTAGTCATTGTCTAACAGCCTGAACTCTCTGACCTGATCCCAAATGACAAGGAAATGTACTAGAATATTAACACTTCCTCTCAGAGTGGGACCAGAACTACTCTGTCCTGGGACACATTTCTCTCAGGTGTAGGAATTGAGGCAGACACAGAGGTGAGTATAATGTCTCCATCACAGAGATGATTTCCTTCAAGGAGGAGAAAGAAGACTTGGCTCTATGGCCATGTGGGAAATGTGACCTTCTGCTAAAGCAGGACTGAGAATGGCTGGTCATAGAAAGAGCTCAGTGTGTTAGGCATTGAAGACAGGTTCACTTAATTCCCAGTGCTGAACCCTATGTGTGGCCCACATGCCCTCAATATTTATTTAAGGAAAGAATAGATGAACTAGAATCCTGACAGTGCAGGATGATGTGGGTTAAATGGAAAATAAAAGTGAAAATCCAGGGAAAGACCTAAACACACACACATAATGAGATGAAGAAAATGTCATTCATCATCATCCTTAATGTGAGCAGTATTTGGTGTAGTTAGAATTACTTCTGTGTGACGAAATAACTGATGTTGACTACTGATGAGCCTTTGGAGTGTGAATTCATGGTGTCTTTGTTTAACATCTAGAGGCCTTTGGTGCATAGTGCGGGGTGGGGTGGTGGTGTCAGATTTGTATCTCAGCTGAATTTCTCAACAGTATAGAACAGGAAGGTGTGAATACAGGTGAGGTGTGAGTGCCAATGAAAAGAGGTATTTGAAATAGGAGAATAACTATGGAGGATTATAGTGGTGTGTAAAATATAAACTTACTCCATTCCCTCCCAGGAAATCCTCATTAAGATTTTCTTCTTGATGAAAGATTTTGTGTGAGAAGAGTATATGACATGAAATTGAAAGAGGGCATGGCTTGAGGTGTAAAGAAAGATTTTAACTTGAGGTGTAAAAAAAATCATTGTAATGTTTTGAACAACCAATAAAAATGTGTTTTTCAAGCACATTTCAAACAGGTAAAGGGACCCACTCATATCTTAATGATTAACAGGAGTTAATTTAGAGTGCACCACATAATTTCTCTTTGAATCCTCTCAAAAACTAATAAGGTAAGAATTTCCATCTGTCCCAGTTTTATAGAGGATGGAATTGAAGCACAAGAAGGATGAATGATTAAACCTGGTATCACACAGTGTGGATTCCAGCACCTCAGGTTCTATAGCTTTTGAACCCACCATGACACTGAGTTAATTATATGTGCATGAGAGAAAACCAGAGGAGTAAATCCCAAGTTAATTTCAGATGGCCCTCAAATTGCAAATAAAATGAAATCTAGCCTAAGCACAGTCCAGAAACAGAGAGGAAGTAAAGCCCATCAAATAGGGCACAAAAGGGAAGTGGGTAGAAATCAGGGACAGATATGAGAATTCCCAAGCCCTTTGCTGTCTCACAAGGTCAGCTATGACTTCAGAATCTAGAGGACACCCAGGGGCAGGAGGCCACCAAGGGGATAGAGGGCACATTCTCCTCTGGGCCTGCAGAGAGGCATCCTGAAGTGAACACATCTATAATGAGTTTTCTTGAATATATAAGTTTCCTTAGCATTGTTGATTTTCACAGGAAACAAGACAAAAAATGGAAGTGCTGGTGGCCTGACTGAATGCAGTTTCCACATTTCTCTTTAGGGTACAGTGTTTTGGTCTTCATTATCAATCATGGAGCCCAATAAAGACCTCATGTCTTATTTGCTTTATGTACTACTCTATGCCAATATTTACCATGTGTTCTTTTTTTATTGTTAGTTGTTCAAAACATTACAAAGCTCTTGACATATCATATTTCATACCATGTGTTCTTTGTAGATCATCTATTATAATATCCTCACCTAAAACAAAAAGAAAATGAGGCTCAAATGAAGCAATGTTCCAGAATCATATCTTTAAGAAGAGATCCAATTCCAGCCTCTGGTCTGCTGGAGCCCTACCTGATGATTTACTACCCGTCTATGCCTCATGTTGCCTTAATCTTCATAGACCACAGAATCCTGAGACACCATCAGAACCTGTCACAACTTCTACAGTCCCACAGTACAATTTTTATCTTCTGTAACAGTGATTCTCTGGGTTTTAGGTCTCAATATTCCATTTACCTTCCTCTTTTAATGCTGATATCACCACATGACTAGGCCCTGACCAAAGGCAGTGAGGAGAGTGATGTAATCAACTCCTGGTTCATAGGATTAATAAAAGGAGCACAGCCTGCATTTCCTTCTTTATTTTCTCAGAGGTATCCATTCTGATATGGGTCCTTTAGGACCACAGGATAATGGGACCCTCCCAGGGTTGGATAGAAGCACTATCGAAGAATTTCCTGAGTCGGATACTCTGGAGCTTACACACAGCTCTATCACATATCCTGTGAAGGTGAGTAGTAGTTCATTTAGAGCCACACTTTCACTCCAAAGAAGATAGAAGCTTTTCCCTTTTAAAATAGCATTCAAATTTCAAGGCAGTTTTGATTAATATCGGTGATGGTACCATAAAATTGATTCAAGAGAAATAACATATAAATAGGAAAAATTATTTCAATGGAGATAAAAATGGGAATGCATTCAATGATATCAGATTGAGAAAACTCCAGATTGTAGGAAGATACAAGGAATGGTGAGGGATAAATTTATGTGTCCTGACAGTTTTTATTCCATCCTTCATCTCTGTCTTGATAGAGTCCCAAATTTACTCATCTCTGTATACACACAAGCTAATGAGATCTTCTCCCTCTTTCTTCCCCATCTTATCCTGTTGCTGGGAATGATATAGCCAGTTTTGCCTATATTTTATGTGCATGTAAGGATATTTTATCTTCCATACTTTGTAGTAAGCTTCCAGACAATGGGACCAATTCTTTCATATTTTTAGGGCTAGCATTGGTGTGTTGACAATATTTGTGTTCAGTATATATTATAATAACATACAGAAAGAGCATCACAATAGCTTCTGGAACTTCCAGATATCTGACATACTCTAACAGAGACACTATGTGCATTATGATTATACTTATGGTATAGAGATATGAACTTGTCTTTCCTCATCTGTATGGCAGTTATATGCAGTCCCTACCAAACACTGCACATTCTGAACACAGACTCCATACTTCATGTGGCATTAAGATCAGAGCATTGCAATTCTTTAACTTCATTACCTGCTTGAGTTGTCCTGAATGGGCATGTGGCCCCTGGTGTTCACTGATCAACTTGAGAATACCTGACTCTGTGTGAAGTGCTGTTTCCCATCCAGCACTGAGGTTCTGCATCCCTATGTATTTGGACTTCTGGTTGCTGAKRTGAGCTGGCAGGAGGGAAGTGAAGGTAGTGGGAGTATGGAAGGCTACAATGCCTGTGGCCTAAGTACCTGGAGGTTCTCCTAAAATGTTTTTAGGAGTTCCATTTTGCTTTGATGTCAGAGTGTGGCAGGAGAGATACTCTAAGACTTCACATAATGAATCTTGAGACAAAATGAATGTAGAGAATTACTGAGAATTACATGCCCCATTACATGGGAGAGTCTATTCCCAACATCCCCACTCAGCATGCTTGAGTGAAGGCCCCAAGCACCACTCAGTGTGAGCAGCATTCAGAAATTTTGTCTCAGGAGCAGGAATTCAGGAAGGCATAGAGGTGGTCATGATACCACCATGAAAAGAAGATATTCCATCCTAGGAAGAGAAGAAGACCTTGATTTAGGGCCCATAAGGGAATGTGGGTTCCTCTAGAACAGGTGTGAGGTGAACTTGAAATGACTCAATCCATCAGTCTCAGTGAAGACAGAAGCAGTGTTTGTATTTCCAGCATCGAGTTCTATGTGAAGTATCTTTTGTATTCATTGTAATGCAATGAATGCATGAATGAATGAGGATCCTAAGCATAGTGAAGATTGTGACTCAATGAAAACACAATAAAAAGTATCAGAAAATACATAAAAATTAAATGAACAAACTTCATATTATCAGACTTTCTGTGGAAAGATCCGGGTGTGTTTAGCATTTCTTGTGTGGGCTCACAGAAATTAAATTGACCACTGAATGCATTTCAAGTGAGGCTTCAGAATGGTTTTATTAAGCACTTAAAAGCATTTTCATCCTCTATGGGAGTAGGATTTGTACTTGAACTGAACTGTGTAGCAGCCCCAAGGAGATACAAATAAGCAATGGTGGGGTCTGAGTGTCACTGAAGAGAGACTTAAGTGTTGGAATATCTGTGGAGGACTATTAAGTGTTGCTCTGGGGTGTGTCCAATAGAAACATACTTCAGTTTTTCTCCCAGATGATTCTTAGCACAGTTGCTTTAGAGATCAAATGTTTTTGTGAAGCATCTATGAGGAGTTGTAGATGAAGTTCAGGTCTTGAATGGAAGGAGAATTGCTCATGCAAATTTCAACTGGAGCATATGTCATGCTCCTACCTGAGGAAAGACAAACAGCATGGGCTTGAGAATTTACCTGGCATTTCATCCTTAAATCCTCTGAGAAACCTGTCATGCAAGAATTAGTAGTTTCCCATTTTATAGAGAATGGAATTTTAGTACAAACAGGATAAGTTATTAGCCTTTGTCACTGTGAATTTTTACCCAGCAGTGCTGTCTCATGGTAGGTTCCCAGGCCAGTCCTTGTGACTCACACTCTGTGTGCTGTCCCACAGGAAGCAGGAAAAGCAGAGGTGTCATTCCCACCTTATATACAATATCACAGTCAAATTGTGGATGAAAATGAAATCTAGCATAAGTGCATTCCACAAAGAGAGAGGAAGAGAATCCACTCAAGTAAGGAACAAAAGAAAGGTGGATGGAAGT